ACTCCTAACCCTCTACTGTCAGGTCCCTCAGGCTTTATTTAGGAGCTCAAGTTCAGGAGACCTCATGCTGACGAAGGGGAGGTTGGGGCAGTGAAGGGAGGAGAGATCTTCCAGCCAGCAGATCCCAGTAGCCCCATCCAGGTATGTGGGGGGTTATGTACCCCCATAGACTCTACCTTCAATTACAGAGGGGTGGCCTTGGGAGCTGAGCATCCATGTGGTGCACCCGAGGGACAAGAGCTACAGCCTTGGACTGGACCATGGGCTCTCTCCAGGCTGAAGTCACTCTTGGTTCCTGGTCCTGATCCTGAGCATCAGGGCTACCCTCTGTGTTCTGAGATAATTTGGCAACTTTGCTCAGGCACACACCTGCTATGTCCCCTCAAGGTAGAGATAAGCAGTAGTGGCCTAGGGATCCTAGGGCAAGGAATGGAGTGGGCAGGTCTGCAGTTAGCCTGTGTGGCTGCAAGTCTAGTCCCAAGCTTTACAGCTGGGAAAGGTCTGTCAATGGCAGATGTTGCAGACTCCCCCAGGTCTGGCCTGGGCCAAGTTGTTATTGTAGCTTGATACCTAGTTGTATTCCAGAACAAACAGATCTCCATTTGTCCTGGTTGGATGAAGAAGCTCATGGTTTGAAAGGTTTGGATTGTGTGAAGCTATTTGAATTGTGGAGTCATCCCAGTCACCTCCAATAAATTTCTCAAATGAATAGAATTAGAGCTAGAATGGAGAGTAGGGGACCAGAGCTGGGTGGTCCTGTGTGGCAGCCCTTTAGTGCCCAAGCAACTGAGAGATTCACCCCAAACAGGGTCCAGTGCTCAAGGTGTGAGGGAGCTATAGTCAGGGTGGGGGCTGTCATGCCATGGAGACACAGGAGGGTGTTGAAAGGGGCTTTGCACTGGGATAGGGCCTTGCTGTAAGGTCAGATAACTTGGAGATGTCCTTGGCCTCTGTGGGACCCCCCTTGTGTCCAGGTCCCACATTGTGCCCAGTCTCCCACAGATAGCCAGAAAGCACCCTGTCCTCTGAATCATTTACCAGGGCTGACCTTTCTGTGGCACCACATTGGGCCTGAGGGGGTGGGGCAGAATGGATTAGACAGCGCTTCCAGAAACTGTAGTGGAGAACAAAGGAGGGTGCTTTGAGGCTCAAGCCTTGGGTGTTAGATCTGGAGGTGGACAGGTGCTGACTGAGGCCAGGGCAGGGGGCATGGGAAAGGATCTGAGATCTGAGTTCTGAAGGACACAGGGAGAAGGGGGTCACAACAAGCTGATGACACTCCCACTGTGTGCCCACTGGTACTGGAAATGCAGCGGAGGTTCAGAGGAGGCGGGGCTCCCACTTGCCCTATCTGGGGCCGGAGGCTTCTCCTGAGAGACCCTTGGACCTGTGGGTCAGAAGCCCAGCAATGAAGCCATCACCCCCACCCCTTCAAGTCAAACAGGGCCCCAGCAAGGCTGGCCCCTGCCACGACTCTCACTCACAGCATTTCCACTCCCTGAGCTTTATTGAAGCAGCAGGTGCAGATGTGTCAGCTACAGAATTTTGTCCTCAAGCTCTACCACCCCCATTACCCACCACAGCTTTGTCTGCTGGCCCAGGACCAGCAAAGTCCCACCCCACCCCACAGCAAATTGTTCCCGAGGCTCCTCCAATCCCATTTCCTGCAGCTCTAACCCCTTAAGAGGACGGGGTCCTGGAGGCTGCCCTTGATCTTCTTACACGATTTCCATCCTTCTATGGATATGATAACACTCTGCAAGGCTTCCTTGAACTTGGAGAAATCACTTTGCTCAATAGTACAGTTCTTGGGTGGGTCTGTTGGCTAAACAAGAAATACATGTTTAAGTCATCCTCCTAGCAGGAAAAAAAATGAATAAATAAAAGCAAACTCTTGTCCTTCCAGCCACAAGGGTCTTATAAGCCCACTGCCCCTAGGAGGTAACACCACAGTCTCTCCTATGCTGTCTGAGGGAAGAAAACTGGGAGCTGCATGGTGATAGTAGGGCCCAGAGTCTAAGGACCATCCAAAGTCTTGAGGCCAAGGGCATAGGCAGGTCCCAAGCTGTCCAGGAGAGGGACATGAGGACCAGTGGGGTGGGAAGAGTACACCGGGGACTGTGCAATCAGTGGGCAAAAAGAGCAGCTGTCATTTCCCCAGACATTGCCCCCCCAAACTGCTGCCCACCCCCCCATCATGGGCTCCAACGGTGTTCATCAGTCCAGAAGAGGTCCCAAGGACTGGGCAAACTGGAGCAAGCTTGAACTGGCTGCCCAACCAGTTTCATCACAGAGAGGACCCTTCCACCCCAGGCTGAGTCTGTGAGCAGCCCTGCCCTGACCTTTCTCAGACCTCCCCCCACACTGACCCCTGTGCACAGGAGCTTGGCAAAGAGCTCAAGCAGAAATCCCCAGGACTCCTGAATCTGTTCCCTCACACCCAGCCTTCTACTCCCCACCTGCCACCCCTGTCAGTGAGTGGACTTCTTTTGGGTTGGAGACAGTTCCAGAGAACAGTCACCTGTGTGGCCAAGAATAGCACCAAAGGCCTTACAGGTAGCAAGTATGGCCCATAAGAAGCCCTTTGCCCCGCCGGGCCCCTGACTGTGACGCAGGGAAATTATGTCTCAGGTTTCCCTAAGAGCAAATGGCAACTTACTTTCAGCTTTGGGCAGATTCTGGTGAGTTCTTCCATATCCTTATAAATCTTTGTTATGTGATGGTCCCGCTTGTTGTATTTGGTAACAAGATCCTTCAGGGTGGAGGTGAAGTTCTTTGTAAACTCCCCATAGCAAAGCTCCTGAAACAAGATGGTGGTCGTGCACAGCGAGCACCAGCTGACCCCAGCCTCCTCCACTGCCGGTCACCCTGGCTAGACAGAGCCCTGAGCCCGAGCTCAGGCTATTCCCTGATTCTCCCACAGGATATCTGTGGGCCTTTGCAAGCCCTGCAGTGGAGGCAGTTGGGGGTCTCCTGGGCCCAGAGTTGCACTTGGTTGGTGGCCAGAGAGCCTGGCAAAACCTGGGACCTGGCCTCTGGTTCATCTATTGGCTAAGATGGAAGCTCCATCCTCAAACTCTCAGATTTCTCACGCCGATGTCCTTTGTTCTTATCTCTTCCCTAGGCTCTGTCTGGGGTGATCCCTCTCTCCCCAGTCAAGTGTGGTCCAGAAAGTTCAAAGGGTAGCCGTTTCTTACCTCACTGGTGTTCTGGGGCCTGTTGAAAGAACCCTGGGAGGAAAGAAAAGTCAGTCAGGAACACCAAGGGCCACTGAGAGCAAAATAACATTTGATGAAGACCCAGGCTTACCTGGTACGTATTGTTGTCAGCCGAAAGTTCCTTCTGAATCTCAGCACAGATTGCTGTGTGATTTTCGTGGGGAGACACCATGGCTACCTTAATTGGGACAGAATGGCTTTCTGACCCCCAGAGCACACATGCCAGGAGCACATACAGGTACATGGTATTACTCGAAGGCGGCTCCAAGCTGATCCGAGCCTCGGGCTTGGCAGCATTCTGTGGAGAGGGGTACCTATATATGTGAGTCTAAGGAAATGCTAAACCTCTTATCAGTCATCACAGACTTATGAGGAAGACAGAGAGGACCTTATCACTGGGCCAGATGTGCTTTTCATGCATTTTCGACGACCACAGCACACCTCATGGATTCTTGTCTTTGCTGAAATTCAGGTTTGGTCCAAGCCTTTTTACTTGCAATCATATCCAAAGTCATGACCTTTCTGGTTGAGTGTGGGTCTCTGGCCAGAAATGGGGCTGTCCACAGGTGCTGGGTGGAGCAGACCGCAAGTGGGGGGTGGGTGCATAGCTTTGGAGAGTGCCAGGCAGGACTAAAGCCCCATCAAGTCCGCTCTCCCAGGCCCACCTGTCAAGGAGAAGGCTGGCCCTGCTGCCCACTTAAGACGTATGGATATATCCACTTCCTCAGAGCCCTGCTAGGGACACACAGGAACAGGTTCAGAAACAAGGCTGTCAAAGCAAGGAGAAGGAGGAGAGTTGCTTTTTTCTCAGCCTGAAGACCATGGATTTTAGGGGAAAGTGCCTGTTTGGATTTCAAACTTCATGTAAAAATAAAAGCAAGTTCCCGAAAATGCTACACCAGAGCTATGTACCAACAAATTATGAACTTACATTTTGACTCTCAGAGATTAAGATCATCTATTTTGAGGAAAGGTTGGTAAATATGCTGAGCTCTGACCCCTGTGGTCTGGTTTCTTTTTCACTGAACAGTTGGTCTATGTGCTGATTTCCCTTAGGAGTGGTTGAAGCCCTGAGTGTGAGGGGCAGGGCATGGGACCTGGGGGCCAGGGCCTCCAACGGGCACAGGAGTTTTGCCTGATGCCAAGGCAGGCTTGTTAAGTCAGTGACCAGCCAACCCCAAAAGAGGATGTCCCTGCTCTCGGCCAAGCTTCCCCTGGGCTGGTCACTGGGACACCCAGGTGCACCTGAGAACCTTTCTCTGGAGTGGGAGCATCCAAGGAAGCATGCCGAGGGGGGCAGAATACCCAGGCCCAGCTCTCGCCTCCCCTCTGCTGTCACAGTGTCGCCCCTCAGACAGCGCCCAACCCCTAGCAGGCCTCCGGCCCCTTCCCCACCTCCCAGCTTCTCTCCTTTTCTGCCCCGTGGGGAGGTGGGGGCACCACCAGCATTGGCTCATGGTTGAAAACAAACCAGAAAACTGCAAATACAAGAAGACTTTTAATAATTTATTATTATGGTAAGACATCTTGAATAAATACAGAGTATGAGTTTAAATAAATAAATAAATAAATATTTTAAAAATATAAATATATAAATAAATATGACCGATCTCTGCCAGTATAAAACATCCCCCATTTATCTACCACCAGTATGGCCCAGGGCCTGCCCATGCCACCCCCACCGTGGCTGTGGCCCACGCTTTGGTCCCTCTAAGATGAAGATCCTGAGTTTCTGGCTCTCGTTTCATGAGACAGCAGCAACCTGTGAGGTAAGCTTTGGAGCTGGCCTGCCTCACTCCTGGCTGGGCTCCCAGCAGTCAAAGGGGATGTCAAACAGAAATTTCTTCAGGTTCTCTTTGAAACTTTTGAAGGTGATAATCTGGGTTGCACAGGAAGTTTCCTTTAAAAAAAAAAAAGAAAGAAAAAGAAAAAACACTTGAGTCCAGACGAGTAGGTAGCATGGGGGAAGCACCAGCATGTTTCTGCCCTGCCTCTTAGAACTCAGAGTCCAGAAGGCCCTTTCCAGGGCCCGCCCACTGACCTGGATCAGGTGACACTGCCACCACCCGTGTATTACCTCAGGGGTGCACAGCTTTGCCAGCCACAGCTGGGGCCGAGGGCCTGACAAAGTGCCAGCCTAAGGACAGTCTTCTGGGTGGTCAGACTCTGTCCTTCTAATGGTCCCTAGCCAGGGCAGAGCAGTTGGGCTGAGGCCATCTCCAGACACCCAGAAGAAGCAGGAGTCCAGGCCACCACCTCACTCCCTTCTCATAGGAAGGAATGTCTGGCACCCTTTTCCATTCCAGGTAGGCCTCCTTCCTTGCTTCCATGCAATCCATGTACCTCTCATAGGGCCAGGGGAAAATCCTATCGGGAGGTGGCACTTGGGCTCTGACACTACCTCTGGACCTTGGGCAGGCCCTGAGTTTTCTTGGGTTTGCCTTGCCTCTGACCTCATTCATGATAATGACAATAAAACCAAGGATAGGGAGCATCGTGGGTTGCAGAGCTCCATGGCTTTAGCTCCTGGGGATGAAAAAGGGCGGGCTGCTTCCTCTCTGGATGTGCTAATCATTACACATCTGTTGACACAAAAACCCTTTGGGGTCCTGGATAGCCACAGCCAGAGGTCTGTCCCCACCCAATCCCCACCCTCCTGCTGAGGGCCCAGATGTAGGACTCACCGGGGTTGGGGGACAGTACTGCTTGTAGTGGCTGGCCATCATGGTCAAGGGGCCCTTGAGCCTGGCTAGACTCCCCTGCAGGCCCTGCTTGTACAGCTCCAGGCGGGTCTGCAGGCATGTTGGCTCCTGTGGAACACATCCGTTTCTCGGTGAGCAGTGACCAAGTGCCCTCGGTGGGCACAAGATACCCTCCCCATCACTCCTTCTGGTTCCCATCCCCGTCCCCCAGAAGTAGGCTTGGGAGGGGCACAACCAGATTCTCAAGCTGGGTTCAGTCAGAGACACAGTTGTGTCCACGGCAGGCCTGCTCTCCTCACTGCCTAGCTCAGGCCACCCCTCAGCTGGTGCCTCAAGAGGGTCCCAACCCCGCGGAAGGAGGTCATTCTCACGCAACCATTCAGGGGGAAGGGGGCGGGGCATGGCGGGGCGGGGCATGATCTGGACCTGCTCTCGAGTGAGGGTTGTTTCTGAAACTCCTCTGTGCCCTCTGTAGTCAGCACCGCGCTCACAGGGCTCGGTCTCAAGGCACAGCGAGTGCCCCAAACCTACGGTCCCTGTCTCGTGAAGTGACCCCCACTTCACCACCTGTCCTCTGGTAACCCCTGGCCCTTGAATGCTAGGTCTGCCCATGGCTGCTCAGCAGATAAAGGAGCTCTTGTGACTGCCACGGGGGCAAGTCTAGCGGCCTCTTGAGCACCCAGTTGCTGCCCCTCGGCAGCCAGCTGCCTGGAGAGAAAGTGGACAACCCTATGAGGGGCCATTTGAAATGGCATCCGCAGCCCCACGCCAGAGCAGAGGGTCCTGGAAAGCTACGTCAGAAAGAAGTGTCTCACCTGGGGGTCAAAATTCTCAGAGACGACTTCTACTGTTTCATTCTGTAAAAAAAGAAAATGTCATGTTATCAAGGGGTCCGGCAGGGCCAGTCCAGGGCCAGCAGGGTGGCCCAGGCAGGAGCCTGCGCTCTCCCTGTCACTTACCAACTCAGCAACAGTGTCATTACTTTGGTTCAGGAGGATCTGGGTCTCCTTGATGGCATTCACATGCCTCCAGGGCCGGGTGACAGGGCTGGGCGGGCGGGTGGGTGCAGAGATGCTGCAGACCACAATGCCTAGGAGAAGCAGGTTCTTCAGCCACATCCTCCTGAGAACTTTAGCCTTTCTCTCTATGTACTGGGCTCACTGGCAAAAGAGCTCTTAAATACACAGAGGAAATGATTAATGGTGACCACAAAACGCCAGGGAGGCGGGGGAACTACCTGAACTGTGGAATCTCCTGGCCCTTATCAGCTGCACATGGGAACGGTGAGCCTTTCCCCCAGGTGGTCAGGCTCAGGGGTTTTCATTAATAAACCTTTCCAAGAACCAACAACCCACCCGCCCACCTCCTTGAGTGCTCTCCAGCCTTCCCTGGGCAGTCCAAATGGACGCTAGACTGCCACTTCCCTCGGAGGGACCTCTGACACAGCTTGGACTTCCTGGCCTGGAATGGCCAGAGTGGGGCTTGGGAGATAGTAGGTGAGCCTCCTACTCCCAGGCTCCCCATCCTGCCTTCTATCCTTGGAGGCCTTTGGACATGCCTGTGCCCACCCTGCCTCTTTCCGACTCCAGCCTTCCACTTCTCCTCCCAGAGTCCTCTCCCCTGGCCACTGTGAGAGACTTGAGTGTGAAGGGAGTACTCACAGACCTGTTCTACTGTCCACTTAGGCAGAGTCCAGCCAATGGCACAGTCTTACGTTGGTTCTTGAGAGCTTCTACCGAGGACCCAGAACAGTTGGCAAGCTCAGCCTAGTCAGGGGCCCCTACCCCTGTGAGCAGAGGGAATGAGGACCACACACATATCATCAGGCTTCAGAAGTGGGTCGGGGCTCTCAGCTGGGCCAAGTTGGGCCCCCTAAGTTTGACTCCTGACTCTGGTGCCACCTTGCTAAGTGACCCTTTTCCCTAGTTATATGGGCCTTGCCTCCCTCCGCAGGGCAGGCTGCCCTCTGAGGTAGGCTGTACGCTTCTACCTGTAGCTCCGAGAAGTCACCAGGAGTTTCTGGGGCTGGCTGCAGCATTGTGGCTGTACCCATACCAGGGACAAGGGACAACGGCTTCTCAAGCAAGGTCTTCCAGACTTAATTTCCTACATGGCTCTCTTTCCTTTCCCCCTTCCTCTCCTCCTCCTGCCCCACCCCTCCCCACCCCTCTGTGGAAGGGCCTCTCTGTGGAAGTAGGAACTGCTTCTGGAAAAGCTACAGGCTCTTGAGAGGCTGACGAGTGTTTGGTTTTCACAATGGAGTTTAGAGAAGACAGCGTGAGTTTGTGTTTGCACAAGGGATCTGGCTCAAGCTGCCCATACCTGGAGTTTCATGGCCGAAGGAGCGAGGGCCTACACATGTCCATTTCTGAGCATGTATGTGCTGGTGGGATTGGATGTGGGAGTGTCTGCACTTATGGGTGTGTCTTGGAGGCAAGGATGTTTGACATGAGGGCGCCTCTGTGTGAGCCCTGATTCCTGCTTTACGAAGGGCCCCAGGCCTCTGAATGTGCCCCTCTGTTACCCAAGAAGCTCGTCACCTGCAGTGAGATGTTTCTGGAACCCACAGGCTGATTCAGCCTAGGCCAGTGGGATCGGACACAAGCAAGAACATTCTGCTGGTTTCATGTGAGCTAGCATCCAGAGAGCAGGTAGAACTCATGGCTTGAGCACCATGGTCTGAGTCTGCAACCCTGGCAAGTTTCAATGTATCATGGGAGTTTTGCTGTCCTTGAGTGGGAAGCCGAACCGTAGTCCTCCAGACTCTACCAGAGGAGGAGAAGTGGGGGCCTGTCAGGATCTGGAGTCCCCTGTGAGGCCAGCCCTGTCCATCTGAGCCTGGTGAGAAATTTGTACGTGGGCAGGCTGTGGGTGAGAACTTGACATTTCCAGGCCTTGACCTTTGCTCACCTCCTTCCAGGCAGCTCTTGGGGGAGAAAGGGAGACAAGGATTCTACATGTAGATGCCACACAGAGTGGAGGACTATGTCAGACAGCACCCGGAGGATGAAGGAAGGGCAGGGAGGGGAGCCACAGGCAGTGACTGAGCTGGTGTCCAGGGAGGCAAAGAGCTGGTGTGGCCCCTCTGGGAGGGAGGGTCACTTTCCTCCTGGAAATGAGTCATCACAGCCCAGACAGTTAGTCAACAAGCCTTTCCAATCTGCACCAGGCTCTGTGCTGGAGAGAAGGTGAATGGGGCCCCCCACTGGCCCTCACATGGTCCTTGAGGATCTCACTCTGGCTAGACACAGGCTGCAATGGACCCTTCCATAGTGTGGTCCAGGCTGGGATGGGGAGGTTCAGAACTGAGGAATCCCAAGGAGCCACTAACTTGGGAATCCAAGGGGACAGGAGAGCTTCTTGGAGACATGACCTCCAAGCACAGGCTGAAAGGGAAGTAGAAGTCAGGTGGGCAAATTGCTGTGGGAGAAGGGTGAGAAGAGAGAGGGAGAGTGTTTTATGCACAGCAAGGCCTAGGATTTTAGGAGCGGGTATAATTAAGAGAAGGCAGATTTCAGAGAGACTACGGAGGTAGAATCTTGAAAGGACTTGGTGATGTAGCGAAGTCACTCTTTCGTTCAATATTTATTGAGCACCTACTAGATTCCCAGCAGAGAAAGGGGATACAGGACTGAGGAAAAATAGTCAAGTTTCTGCAGTCGTGGACTGTATTACCCCGCTGATGGAGGAGCTAGATTCATGAATCTACTTAACCTCCACCACCAAAGTGTGCTTTTTTTTTTTTTTTTTTTTTTTTTATGATCCTGGGTTTTGTATTTATGGTACAGAGCTATTTCCAGCAAAAAAATGTTATAGCAGGAAATCTGTCTTTTCATTTCTACCAGTGGACTTTTTCATCTATGTCTCTAACCTCTTTCCAAATGTCCAGTGTCACCATATTACCCAGTTCTCTCAAACAGACCTTGCTCCCAAATTACTTAATGTGAAAAATTAATTAATGATCTCCCAGCATACATTTAATTACTAAAGAGGTGGAGTAATTCCAAAGTGTGCTTTTGAACGTGAGTGAGAAGAGTAAGTCACTAAGTTGACTAAGGTGGGGACCCAGGGGGCAAAGGAGCAAGTCTGCAGGGTCTAAGTGACTGTAGGAAGTTTTGGAGGTTTGGAGGCTACCTGTGCAGGAGACAGATCTGGAAGTGGCCCATGTCCACGTGGTAGCTGAGGCCATGGAGAGTTATTCAGGAAGAAGGACTGAGGCCCAGCACAGCTGTGCTGAAGGACAGAACACGATAACTGGGTAAGTGACAGGCCTATGACCGAGGGTCCTAAGAGGGCAGGAAAGAAGGAAGTCAGGAGCCACGAGGAAAGAGCTGTTCCAGCAGTGCGGCCCTCGGGTGCCAAAGTCAGCACGCGCAGAGCAGAAATCCATGGGTTTGCCGCTGAGCCTTGTGGTCAGCCACACATCTCTCTCCTGGAAAGATGACGTCAGGGCTGAGACCATGACACAGGCAGGCATTCCTAGATTGCACCGCAAGAAAAGAGGTGGCCATGGCAGCATGGAGCTGGCCACGCTGACTCAGGGGCTCCAGTGGGGCTGTGGCAGGGCAGAGGTGGGGACTAGGATTGGCGGTGTGACCCCTCTTTGGCCCCGTTCCCACAGGGCCAGGAGAACACCCTCTAGAAGGAGTTTCCTATGAGAGTGTCCTTCCCCCCTGACTCTGGAGGAAACGCCCCAGATCCTTATCACAAGAGGAAGTTATCACATGGGGGAGGAAATGGACCTCAAAGTCCCTTGGGCCCCATGGAACCCCTACATGATCCTTGTGCTGGCCACTCCTTGGTGAGGTTGTTAGTTGTTGAGACCAGGAGCTGGCCCAGTCTACACAATCGGTGACAGCAGACCCAGAATTTGAGTCCATATCCGTTCCTGCTACTCTGATGTTTTCTGCCATCTCAGGGGTCAGAAAGTCAGGAAACACTGGTCACCTGGTGGGACCAGCAGAGAGGTGGACTGAGCACGCTTGTCCCCCTTGGGGCAGCTGTAAGGGGAGATTCCTGCCAGGTGATGACCGGGAGACTGGAGTGTTCTGTGACTGTCCCAGGGAAGTCTGGGGACTGAAGGCAGATTTTCCTCCAGAAGATCCTGCTATCCAGACATCTCTATGCCCCAGGCTTGAACTCTTGTCCCTACCCAGCAGCTACCAATCCCTGGGAAGCCCAGGGAAGTCCTTCCTCCCAAGCCTCAGCTCCCTCATCTGTACAATGGGTTAATTATCACAGAGGAAATTGCTGCCTTTCCCAGGAAACTTTGTGGGCAATCCTCTCGGGGAAGAGGCAGCACTTCAAACTCTCCTCTCCCATCCCCATGGGAGGTATCTGAAGCCCAAACTGAGCAGAGGGGCCATGCTTGCTGGACTTTCCAGGGACAGCTGCCCCTTGCCAATCCCCAGTCTCAGAGGGCATCCTTCTGGACAGACGTGGTAAGCTGGAGAGTCCAGCTTACACCAAGGGCTCGCAAGGTCCGTGAGTGACTTGTCCTTCCCTGAAAGGGAGCTCTTGTCACTCCAGACTGCAACAGACATATGAAAAAACATCTCTGGCCTCTACAGTTTTAGTTGCAACCTGTCCCTTCCTGTGTCCCCTCTGTCCTGGTTCCCAAAGGCACACCTCAAAAAAGGGTAGCCTGTCCTGGCCAAACTCCAGGTGCAGGCTTCCTGTTCTCTACAGAATGGGTGGTTCTGGAATGAACTTCCTCCCAGACTTTTCTGGACCTCCCAGGGCTCTCTTGGACTTTCCCCGAAGCCCTGTTTAGGCAAGCACACCTCACGGCATGATCTTGGGCCTGCGGCTTCCCACCTCCGAGTCCCAGCCGGCTCATCTCCATCAGGGGATGGGAACTGACTTTTGCAAGTTGTTAGAGGGGTGCACTGAGATCTGTATGGGATGGTCCTCCCCACCTGGGCACCGGGCTGCATGGAGGATGCTTTCTGTGTTCGTTTTCTGTTTTGGCCCACTGGCTGCCTCCGCTCTAGCCTCAGACTCTCTGTCAAAGAAAAGGGAGTGGTGACTAGGGTCTGGACCAGTCTCCAGAGCCTTCTCATTCCTTGGGAGTGGGCATAAATTTAGGCATCCCTGATGGGGAATATGATTGTTTAGACCCTTCCAGT